TAATAGAGTCCTTGGGATTCCCTAGGAGTTATTTTCCTAAATCAAGTTCATACAACAAGCTAGTGAATTTCTAATTACGGGTTGAGCATCTCTAATCCAAAAATCTGAAATCCATAATTCTCCAAAACCTAAACTGCTTTGAGTGCCACTGTGAGGCCGCAGTGACACACAGGGACACTAGAAACACTGCACCGCAGTGTCTTCAGGCTGCCTGTGGGGAAGCACGTGGATTCCTGTTGAGACTTGGGTCCTGTCCCCAGCATACCGCATTAAGTAGACACAAGCTTCACGAAATCCGACCAAGTCCCAAATCCAAAATGCTCCGGTCTCCCGCGTTTAGTAAGAGATGCTCAGCCTGCACCCCACCTTTCTGATCATAAAGGGCCATCAGGAGTGGTGCTGGCATAGTAACCCTCAAGTTAGGGTCAGGGTCAAAGAAGAGGGGTCAGGAGGACAGTGGAAGCTTTTCACAGACAGGTAAGGAGAGGGAGACTCGATGAGGTCATGGGCCTGAAATCGTGGCAGATGGCCGTTCCTGGCAACAAAAACAGCTCACCGTTGGGGGTATCTTGGGGTACAGTGTACTAAGCACTGTGCTGAGAAATGTGTGCACGTCATCACAACTCTGGTATTCACGGCACCTCTGACACCTTCATTGCCTGGGATTTAAAAATCCACAACTGGAGCAGAGAGCCTCAGTAACTCGGTGGCAGTAGCACAGCTCTAAGAGGCCTCCGAAGATGGGAGGCTGGCAGAGACTCCCCGTAGCCATGTCAGGAGGAGGGCGAGCTCTGTGCAGTTCAGGTGGCCCTGGAGTAGGAGGGTGAGCCCGAGCCCTCCTCTGCAGACCCGCAGGTCCGCGCAGACCACAGGTCGGATCTTTGACCCAGGGTTTTCCAGTCCCTGTCTCTGTCAGTCAGACGCGCTCCAGTTCCTGTTCTGAATTGTTTAGGTCTCTCCCGCCCCAGGCTGCACTCAGCCACCAGCTTCATCGGGGTGGGTCAGTGTGTCGAGGACCACCTGCCAGCTGCCCTTGGGACGCCTGCCCCTCCTCTCCTTGTGTCCTGGTTCTTTCTGCACCTGTCCGTGGGGGCAGCGGGCAGGTGCGTGACTCTGGGGGAAAGGCTGACGTGGGTGTCTTTCAGGAACACAACCATCTCCCTCCTGACCACAGACGACGCCATGGTCTCCATCGACCCCACCATGCCGGCAAATTCAGAACGGTAAGGGGCGGCTCGGCTGCTCTGCAGCTCACTCCTGACCCGGCCGCACCACCTGAGCCGCGGTTTTAACTGACTCTACGCAGGGTGGGGGGCGGGGTGAGGGAGCAGGACGGGGGCAGGGGGATTCTCTTGTTTTCTTGCATGAATCCGTGTGTCCTCCCCGACCGGAGCCTGTGAGGAGGTGTGTGCAGACCGGAAACGGAGGCACATGGCAGCACTTACGTGGCAGTGCCAGGCCCTGGGGTCCCTGCACTAACTCAGGAAGGGCTCTAGGAGAGTCCTCGAGACCCTGAGCACTGACCTACTCGGGGTAATGCTGGAACGTTCCGGGCACAGAAGGGAGAGGTGGCTGGGGCCTAGAAAGTGAGGAACAGTCGGCTACCGTGCCTCTGTGAAAATCTGCAGAACGTGGCCCAAGGAGGACACGGAGCAGGAACGGGTGACGGGTCCCTTCACCAGGTAGCCTGGAAGTCCCCAGTCATCTGCACCTCATTTGCCACCGAGCAAGGCAAAGTCCACACCCTGCTCTCTCCAGGGGTGGGGTGAGTTGGTGAGTCACTGGTGCAGGCCGCCCCTCAGGGCCGGCTCTGGGTCCCCTGCTCCTCACTGACCAGCCTCCAAGGACTCATTACAGGTTATGGAGCCTGTTGGTCTGGTCATCAGCGTCTAGCCCAGTTGTCCATGGGTAGCTCTGAGCCCACACAGGAAGCACACACCAGGCAGGCCCTTGCACATAATGACAATGTCAAGATACTCGGGCTCCAGTGACAGGGTGGGCTGAGCTCTCCATCCGGGCCCCACTGGCCCCCGCAGGCATGTGGACCTGAGTGTCCGGCACCTGGCAAACCTCCTTCCTCCTGCTTGCGGAAGGCTGTGGTCCTGGTCAGCAAGGTCTCAGTGGACATGGCCAGCACTGTCCCCGTCACCTCAAGGCCTCAGCCAGGCCTCCTCCATCCAGCCATGCCCATCAGCTCTCCTGTCTGGAGGACAGTCTCTGGTCACTCCTCTTGCTTTGACTCTCAGTTTTAAGACTCCCCAGAGCCACCACTAACGGACTCCCCAAAGACCCCAGCGGGGCACACACATCTCCGCTCCAGCCCACCTGCCCAGATCCCCTCCCAGGGGAGGGCTGCCAACCGACCCATGACCCCGACACCCCTGACCCTCTCAGGCCTGAAGTCACCTCAGTGGCGGGGGTCTCGCAGTGCAAGCCGACTGCAAAGCTGCTCTTTTCTCCTGCACTGAGTTCAAGCAGGTGTCTGCAGAGGCAGGTGGACTGCGCAGGACATTGGGGCAGCACACCTTGGCCAGCCTGCCACCCTGGCCCTGGGGCCTCCTGAACGAGGAAAGCCTCAGACACACCAGAAAAAAAGCCCTCCAGAGCCTACACTCTGAACAAGTGCTTGGCCCGGCTCTGCTCAGCTCGACTCTGCTCACGGGATCTGGATAAATGCCTTTCTAATGCAGATGGAGACAGAGATGCTGCAGTGTGAGGACCCTGCCGTTACCTGGACGCAGTCTCCTCCTGGGCTCCGCAGCCTCGGACTGAGGCACTACCTCTGGGCAGGGAGTCTGCTCAGGTGCCTGGTGTCCACATACCTGGATTCTTTGAGCTGCATGTTCACGGGGGCTTTTCACGAGATCTTCTCCAGATCCCCAGAGCTCCTGTCCTACCTCCATCCCCATCAGGGGGGTGGTCCCGCTGCACTGTCCCTGCAGCTGAATGCTCCTTGGCCCTCTCTGTCTCCGTTCCCGCCCCTAGACCGTGGTCTTCTGGTCCTTCCATGAGAGCACGCCCCTCCCTGAGGCCTTCCTCCAGAGTGTATGGCCAGCTCCCAGCTCAGACCCTGGGTCTCATGGAGGGAGTGTCCTCTGCCCCCATCAAGGACCCCCACTCCAGTCCTGCTTTCCAGCAAACTCAGCCCTCACCTGCTTGCTCCCCGCACAGAGTTCTTGGAGACCTGTGGAGTGTGGTCCAGACCTTGCATTGGGAACACTGGCCCCAGTCCACCTTCATGTCCTTGTCCCCAGCCCAGCGGGCCCCTCCCCTCTGCATACATCCCTGCACTTCCCCACCCTGTGCTCCCTCTGTGTTCCTCCCCCTCTGCCGGTCCAGAGCCCACCCTTCCTGTGGCTGGGAACCCAGCTGCTGGGATGTTGGGTTCACCCAGGGAGCCTGCGGAGCAGCGTGTGCAATCACCCCGCAGCCACAGGCCAGCTGCAGGACCCCAGGGTGATTGGCTCCTGCTCTTGTTTGGAGCTGGCAAGAAAGCAGACTGACTCCCGAGCAACCCTGGATTCCTAACGACCAACAGAAACCTAAAGACACATCCTTACTCCAGTTGGACAACCCCAGAGCTCTCCCCCAGGGAGGGGCCCTGGATGCAGTGCTGTCCAGCTCACCCAGGGGTCCTCTTACTCTCGGCCCCCCTCTGTTTCTGTCACTGCGGCCTCCGGCCCCTTGGCGAAGGAGAACAGACGCTGGCATCGCGTGCAGAGACATCAGGGCGGGTGAGAGCTTATGGAGAGGGAGGGCAGAGCAGCCCACACAGACAGAACGCAGGCGCTCCTGCTGGCTCTGGGGTCAGCCACCTGTGAGCAACACAGCTGTCTGCCACACACATGCAGGGTGGCCCAGTGGCCGTCCCACTGCTGGGGTCAATGCCTCTGGGTTCTGGGCTGGCTCCAAGCCTCTTTGTCCAGCTCAGACACCACAGAAGCTCAAGGCAAGCTTATCCTCCAGAGAGGGAGTGGCTTCCCCTGTTGCTGGGGAAGGATGAGGATGGGACTTGACCCAGAACCAGGAGCTTCTCCAGCCCAGAGGCGCTGCAGCTGGCTCAAAGCATCACTTCTGTGAGAGGATCAGGGAACCAGCAGTCAAGATAATCCCCAGCGGCAAGAAACGCAGCCCTGGGAGCCTGGCCCCAGCGCCTGGGAGGTCCACAGCTGCCCGGAGTCCATGTCCAGGTCCACACCCGCCTTCGCCTCTGCGACTGGCCCGTTGTTCTCCTTGCTCAGCTCACCCAAGCTGGTGGGGTGCTTGAGCAGGTCACATGGCCCTTGGGCCAGCAGCCCCAGGGCACTGCAGCCACAGAGGGTCTGGACAAGCCTGCCACACATCAGGGCCACGGGGCATCCTCAGCATCCTGCCCAGAGATGCCCCCTCCTGCTCTGTCCCAGCCCCACCAAAGTGCAATCATCCACCCCAGCCCCTGGACTCTTCTCTCCTGGTCCTAGTCACCACCCCTGCCACCTCCAGCATTGATTTTAGGGGCCAAGAAGAAGGACAAGGAGGAAAGAAAAGCCTTTGCTCCCTCTCAGGGGAGGGCAGAGGAAGCCCCTTCCTGTGTCCACTAGGACCCAGGCTCCCCTGACCACCGATGCCCGTCCTGAGTGCCACTCACAGCAGAGAGCTGCAGGAGCAGAAAACAGGGAAGGAGGGGAGAGGGGAGCAGAGGCCGCCACCCCTCTCCTCATGGCCCCTTCGCTCCCATCCTCCAGCCCTGGGGCAGCCTCTCTCCTGCCTGAGCAGTGCTGACCCAGGGACTCCGCAGGGGCCCTGGTCCCAAGGCCGGCCCTGGCCCCCAACTTGTCCCACGTGGCTATCAGTGAGGTCCCTAACCTCCCCAGGCTTCAAGCTCCGCCCGCCACTTGGACCTCTCTTCAAGCCCACGTGGGTCTACCAACCCTGCTTATCTGACCTGGGCCAGACAGCGTTTATGACACAGCCTCTGCCGAGGAAGGAGCAGGCTGGGAGATGTGCAGGTGTGGACTCACCTCTGGAAGGGGACCCGCTCCTGAGAGGGTAGAGCCCTTGTGCCCACGCAGAGTGCCAGCACTTCATGCCCCACGGGTGCTGAGACTGAAGGCTCGCCACGCCACACAGGTGTCAGGCCAGGTGCTGCTCGCGCTGCAGTTTGGAGCCGTGACCCTCATTTTCTGTGCTGTCCTCTTCCGGAAGTGAGGTCGCTCTATGTGATAGTGACCTTGCTGTCTGTGACAGTGACCTGATGGACCCCTGCAGTCGATAACAACTGCACGAGACGTCGAGTGTCACTGTGACACAGACCAGATGCGCAGCTCAGGCAATAGGCAGGAAGCCGAGATGGGGGTCCCCGGGAGGGCCTCCTGCTCCTCGGACAGCAGGCTTCTTGTTTTCTGCTCCTCACATGGCACAGAGAGGGACTTCTGTTCCCTCTGTCCACTTAGGAGGACGAAAATTCCATCCATGGGGCCCCTTCCTCATGACTTCACCCAAACCCGATGACCTCCCAGAGTCCCCACCTCCTGTCACTGTCACCTTGGGGTGAGGACTTCAGCGTGGCCTGGGGGCTGGGATTGCCTGTGTTCAGACTGCTGGACGTGCATGTGTCCTCCACCCCTGGTGGCAGGGTACTCGCAGCTCTGAGCCCTGCGTGGTAGCACCTGCCTGTCAGCCTAGTCTGACCTGCAGTGTCAGTGCCTAGGGGCGGGAGCCTCTGGGTCCCTGACGTCAACAGCACTGCCTGCGTGGGCCCCACAGAGCAGGGAACGAATGAACAAGCAAGTGAGTGACGTGACAGATGACATCTGCCGGTCCCGGGTCTGACGTTTAATCTAGACCCGTGGTGCCTCAGCTCTCTCACCAGGCGAGGATTGCACAGTCTGATCTGTGCAGCTGGGCTGCTTGTCAAGGTCACGCCGTCACACCCACCCGCTGTCCCCAGGCCCTTTCAGCCTCCTGCCATCAGGTTTAAATGCTGCTAGACTGCTGGGTAGAGATGGCCTCTCCCGGGGCTGGCTCCTTAGTGTGCTTTTCCAGTCCCTCCTGGCTGGAGTCTGTTCTTTGCCCAGTGTCCACTGGCTTCAGGCCCTTTCCCAGCCCTTGGCTAAACGTCCCTGCAACGGTGACAGTACACTGTCGTCTGTCACATGGACTGCCGATGTCATCTGCCCAGCCTCTCTGGGTCTCGTGATCACTGGGGTGACCTCACCATGGAGCTGGTACGTTCACTCTTGTCCATGTCGGGTACCGTTGCTCAGAGATCCCGCTGTGCAGACAGGAGGGAGCCTGCCTGCCTCGGCCAGGCGCTGGGGGGTTCAGGCCATGGCGTCCCAACTTGGAACTGCATCCCCCATCAGTAGTGGTTGTGATGTCCACGTTTGTTTCAGTGACCAAATATGAATCTCATAAAGAAAGTTCATCACCTGAATGTATACTTAAAATGTTTAGAATTTATCTGTATGAGGTGGTTGGAACAGCCAAAGAACCTAATTTTAAAAAACAGCGATGGGTCTGGGATGTGGCTCAGTGGTGGAGCCTGTGCTCAGGGTACACAAGGCCCTGGGTCCCTTTTGGAGCACACACAAAGCCCTAATCTGCTGATCCCAGTGCTCTAGCGTGCTTATCTCTCACAGCAGATGTGCAGCGCCCTGGACGGCTTCTCAGTGTAACTGTCATCTCTTTTGCAGAACTCCCTACAAAGTGAGACCAGTGGCCGTCAAGCAACTGTCTGGTAAGGCCCTGCTATCGTTTTTTAAATCAAAAGGAAAAAGAAAGTTGGAGATAAACTACTTAAGTGTGTGCATGTGCAGTCTGATGCTGTCACAGAATCTGAGACCCTCTGCTGCTGTGGAGACGGCCCATCCAAGTCCCTACCCTGACCCTGAGGACTCAGCAGGTGCCAGGTGACATTCCCCTGTATCTCCAGGAGCCTGGTGCCTGTCCCCCATTGTCCACGGGCGGCAAAGGCAGGCTTCCGACCCACAGGGCTTCTCAGGGTGCCTCAGCCAGTCAGCCGTGGTATTTCGTTACAACTCCATTTCCTTTTAGGTTTTTAAATCACTTTTATTTATGTACTAGTGATGCGTAATAAAATGGCCCCATTTAAGTGCATAATTTGATGAGTTTTTAAAACTTTGTATGTCCGTGTCTCCCGTCACCAAAATCAGGCTGCAGAATGTGGACACCACCCGGAAAGGTTCTCAGTCGCCACCTGACCTGTGTTTGGATGCCATCGTTAGGTTGGTCTTGGGAGAATCTGCCCTCTTTTGGACTCCGCGTGGTTCTGAGACCCCTCCTGGCTACAGTGTGCACAGACGGTTCTCTTTTTTTGTTGCTGAGTAGTTTCCACGCTGTGGGATGCGCCAAGCGTGTTTTCCCTTCGTTCACGGACGGACGTTCACACTACTTCCTCCTGGGGGCTTTGGGAACAAAGCTGCCCTGGGCACTCCAGGCAAGCTTCATGGGGCAGTTGGTAAATGCCCACAAGCAGGCTTGCTGGGGTACGTGGAGCGGCGCCTGCTCAGTGAGCACCATCCGCAGGGTCTTTCAAAGTGTGGGGCCACTGCACGTCCTCCCAGTGCTGGGTGTCCCCAGGCTGTTTCTGTTCAGCTGCCTCAGAATTTATTGGCATATGAAGGTTGAAATATGACCTTGTCATCCTTCTCATGTCTGTAAGTTTTAGTGAAATCCTCCCTCATCCGGACAACAGTGCCGTCATTAGTCGCCTGACCTGGGGGACATCCTGAGAAATGTGACATTGGGTGATTCTGTTGTACAAACACCAAAGCAAGCTCATTAAGATGCTGCAGCATGCCGGCCGTGGTGGCTCTCGCCTGTGATCCCGGTGGCTCCTGTGGCTAAGGCAGGAGTTCAAAGCCAACCTCAGCAAAAGCAAGGCACTAAGCAACTCAATTTAGAGACCCTGTCTCTAAATAAAATACAAAATAGGGCTGGGATGGGGCTCAGTGGTCGAGTGCCCCTGGGTTCAATCCCCAGTACCAAAAAAACAAAAAAAAAAGTGCCGCAGCATCATCAGGCCATGCAAGGCCTTGGGCCACCCTCGTACATGCAGGCCACCTTGACCAAAACACTGCTGTGTGATGCGGGAATGTCATTTGTATCTTCTACCTTTAAAAATTAATCTGTGTAACTAGCTATGATTTTATTGGCTTGTGATTTCCAAGAGCCGGCTTTGGGTTGCATTGGTCGTCTCCATTTCTGTTGTATCGATCCTTCTCTTTCTTATTCACTTCCTTCTACGCTCTCCAGGTATTTTTCCCACTAGCTTCTAAAGGTAGAAGCTCTATTGATTTTAGAACTATGTGATGAGAATGGCGGAAAGCTGAGGATTTCCCTGTGAGCATGATCTCATAAACGTTCTGGTGTTGCGTTTCTTTTTCAGTTTACCTGTGGTTTCTCCTCTGACCCACTGGTATTTAGAGATGCATTGTTTGAACTTGGGGTACTTGAGTCCTACCCAGGATCTTCCTATCGTGGATGTCCAAGTGAATCCCACTGTGGTCAGCGAATGCACTGCCCTGGTCCCGAGGTCATGCAGCTGTGGCCGGCCCTGGCGGCTCCTCCCTGAGCGCCGGAAGGAAGGCCCGCTCCACGGCTGGGCAGGACGTCCTGCGGGTCTGTGGGCAGGTCGATGGGGGGATCCAGGGCCTCTGGGTCTCTGCTTCCTTGGGGCAGACGGTCCTGCGAGCACCAAGAGCAGAGTCCGGGAATGCCCGACCCGGGCTGTGGAATCCTTTCCCTGTCCCCAGCACCTTCAGTTCTCTGCTCTGGGAGAGGAGAGGTCAGCCTCTGTATTCCAGTGGCCTTGCCCTTTGTCCCCGGTGCTCTCAGGCTGTGTGCTTTGCCACCTGTCCTACGTCTCTGTGTGTAGGTTTGGAGTGACCTCCATGGGCAGCATCTTCCGTTCTGCGTCTCAGCCTTGACCTTGACCTTGACCCCTCTAGACCCTTCACACTCAGTGTAACTTCGGGTATTTGAATCGACTGTCTTGCTGCCCGTTTTCTGCTCCATTCTTTTTCATGCTCTCCCCTTCTCCTGCTCCTCTGTGAGAGTCAGCAGGTGGAATCGAGGCCCCCGCCCCTGGCCTGGAGCCGTTCTCGTGTCCTTCTTCACGTGGACTGCGCTCCCCAGCAGTGAGCACGCCACCAACTCTGCTTCCAGGCGTTCGGGCCTGCGTCCTTTCTTCATGTGGACGCAGGTTTGCATGTGAGCCGTCCTCCTCCTCCTCCTGCACTCTGGGCTCCGTGGCTCGGCCTCCTCGGGACACACGCCCAGCTCTCGCGGTCTGAGAAGCTTCGGTTTGGAGGTCCTCCCTGCCACACGAGGTTTTGCACCACAGCTTTGTCTTTTGGCTGGCTGGCTTCCCGCAAGAGCGCTGGGGCCAGGGTCTCGACCTCGTGGTGCTTAACATTTTCCCTGTCACTGGCGTCTGGGACTTTATTTGGATGGCTTGCATGTGGCTTTCTCTGTGTTTGCCCCCTGGGGTCACTGAGGAGTCTTGGGGTCAGGGTTTTCATCAAGCGTGTGTTCTGCTCCCTTCCTGCCTTCTCTGCTGGGACCCTCGTCCCCTGAGCAGGGGGCGGCCTGCCTGGCCCCACCTCAGGATGGTGCACCTTGGTTCCAGTCTTTTTTCTGTTTGTTTTAATTTTCTCAGAATTTTTTTTGTTTTGTCTTCAGTCTCACTGAATCCTTCCTCTGGGGCATCTGATCCACTGATAATCTGTGCTCTTCCTGCCCAGGACTTTGGTTGCTACTCGGTGGATTCTGACTTGAGGTCTTCCCTGTTCCTTGTCACACCCTCGGGTCTTTTAGATCTTCCACTGGGGTATAATTCTGTGTTAGTGTCATTGCTGGGCTCGCCCTCTGTCTACCTGCGGCTACTTCCCTGGACTGACTCTTCTCCTGGGAACAGGACATAGTTTTCTGATTCTTGAGAACCCGGTGAGTCCTGGTTGTACTGAAAGCTGGGCTGCCGACCATCTGGATTTTGTTTTCCCCCACTGAAGCCTGTTGGGCCGACAAGAGTTGGGGGACTGCCGTCTATCGGTTGATGCCTTCGAGGCCTGTTTTTGAGCTTTGGGATGGCTCCAGGGGCTGTGCCTCTGTTCCCACTCCAGCTCTTTGGAGCAAAGCCATTTAGGTGCGGTGCAGAAATGCCAGGGGCAGCTCATGTTGTCCTCAAAGGTCATTGTAAGGACTTACGCCCTCTATGAGTGACGCAGGGAGCTATGAGAAGGTTTTGAGCCAAGAAATTGCATAACCAGATCTATATGCACTTAACAGACTTGACCTTCACATTATTTATCCACAGCGAGCACGTAGCACCGAAATTACAGTGTATAAGACAGGCCTTCCCCTGGGGAGCAGCAGTGTAGGGCATCTGTGTCCCCGACTCTCAGAGTGCTTGATGTGACCAGGCCACTCTGCGAGGACACCACCCTGCAGCCCCACGCTGCGTCTGTCTGTGGGACGGCACGTCTCCCTTTGGCCAGCTGAGTGCTGAGGGGCCAGTTGTCTTTACCTCCTGTCTCGAGGCCCCCATGTGCGCCTGTGTGGAGGCAAAAGCCCTCCCAGACTCCCCGTCTCAGGCAGAAGCCCCAGCGTCGCATCTCCTCGCCATGTTTGTTCTCTGGGGTTTTGTTGCCCTTTGGTTTGAACCCAGGGGCACCTACCACTGAGCTCCATCCCAGCCCTGTATTTACTTATCCAGGGGTGCTAGGGACCCAGCCCTTGCCCTTTTACTTTGAGCCAGGGTCTTGCCGACTAGCCCAGGCTGGCCTGGGTCTTGCCATCCTGCTGCCTCGGCTTCCTAGGGACGGGGATCACTGGCGTGTGCATGTCCTGGCGTGTGCATGTCCTGGCGTGTGCATGTCTGCTGTGCTCCCTAAGGAGAAGGGAGGCAGGCAGCAGAGGGGGCAGCAGAGCGTCCCTGAGGCCTAGGAGGCCTCTCTCTCGGTCCTGTGGGAGGACCATGCCTGGGCTCGCTGGACAGCAGGCTCCGGGGTGCTCTGAGGAAGGGCAGAGTGCTTTCCTGACTGAGCGGAGGAGTCTGAGAAGCATCTGAGTCCACCCCAAGCCCCGAAAGCCTCCACCTGAGGTGGAGCAGGCCCCGGGAGGAGGAAGCCCACCTGGGGATCCGCAGGGCTGCCGGACACGGTGAGGCGAGGAGCACACGGAGAGGGAGCCTGGTGCAGCCTTTCAGCTGGCATGTGGTGCTGGCAGCTGGCAGCTTGGGGGCAGGCGGGAAGAGAGCCAGAACCGCCAGGAGGCAGCAGCCCGAGAGGAGGGCCGGGCTGAGACACCAGACAGGAGTCGCCTGAGAAGGACGCCAGGATCCGTCTGGTCCAGAGCAGAGGGACGGACAGCAAAGCCCAGCAGAATGAAGAAACGAGACAGGCCAGCCCGAGCGGAGGGAGACCAGGGGAGGTGGCAGCAGTGCTCAGATATTTACAAGAAAGAGGGAATTTTGAGTAGCTTTAGGGCAACCTGGTCCAGTGGAAGACGGTGGGCTCTTCAAGGAAAAGGACTTAACGAAGCTGGAGCCCATCGTAAAGAGGACCAGCAGCCTGAGGGCTGAGCACCCCCACGGAGGCTCTGCCAAAGGCCTGGTGGCCATGTGCCTGTGAGTCACCTGTGCCTGCAGCAGCCCCCCAGGCCCGGGATCCCCACAGCCCCCGAGAAGTTTGGGGAACACACTGAACTGTAAAGTAC